GGATAGAGCGGTTGGTATAAAATAATAATGGTAGGATGTAAAGTTAAATTTAGTGTTAGGGTTCATCTCTCACTCGTTCATATAAATAAAGAGTCCCATATTGTGTTAAGCACTTGATTTTTTAATAGAATTTTCTCTTGCGTTATTTTACTTTTTTTGTGATCCTCCTCCCCAGTGAAAGATTGCTTCAGTTTGTGAGTCCACAACCCTTATAAAATGACTTCTAAAAAAACAAGATCTCACTGATGAAAGACTATCCGTAGAAGTTGACTTCAATTTATCCCTGCTTAACGACTTGTTATTTTTAAATCAGTCACATGTTAAAACAATCATTTTTTATTTTAAGTCTTTCTTTGCTTTTATATGAATTAGAATTTCAATGCAATTAAGATACTAATAGTTTAAATCACTTCACCCTCATCGTGTTAAGTGCATGTGTTAAAAAAACAGCTACAGAAATAGGATTTCCATTGCAGCATCAGCAACAAAATGTCACATTTATTGTTATACTTCAATAGAGAGTTACATATTATGGACGACTTGTTTATTGTTATACTTCAATAGAGAGTTACAAATTATGGATGACTTCACTCTGACTTATGTTGGTGGACAAAATCATCCAATCCAAGAATCTCAACTGATAACACTTAACAAACTCAAGAAAAGAATAATATTTTTATTACATCACATTATTCAACACAACATTAATCTGGTTTGTCAACTTCCACTAAGTGTGGTAATACTGCAACTTACATTGAAGAAGACGAGTTATATAAAGTCAGGTTGTTAGAAGCAATCAAACATACGATAATAGCTTATGTGGAAGTTGAAGCCATGTCGATAAATAATGTAGACAAGTCCTTCACGTAGTTCAGTAGATCCTACCAAACTGCTGACATATTTATAAGTTTGTAAATTGCATTATATTATTTTTTTTCTCATTTTTGTATTTTCAATAATATTTAAAGTATAAATGTTTCGATTTACATGCTCACACCAATATTATTTAGTGCATATGATATTGGGAGCTCTAGCAAACCTGACCAACCAATGGTTGACCATATTGTATGTTGGCCATTTGACCTATCACATCCATTTCAATATTATGTTAGTAGAAATATAAAACATGTTGGGTGAAAAGTATCTCCTAAAGCACATTTAGACGATAATGTAGGGGCATATGAAACTATGGATGATGGAATTAGTGGAAAGGCAATCGGAGGGGGGGCAAAGAGACTTATACGGTCTTGTCGGGATATAATTTATTATGCCGGCATGCAATATTGAATGCATATATGCTTAACTCGATGGTGGAGAATAATGAATTTGTGCAACACATTTGCACGACCAAGAAGTGGAATACGGTTGACAAATGTGATGTCCCATCTAACCAATCACCCACATCTCAGAACGATGTAATTCTAGAAAACCAATTGAGGGGATTATGTTTTCAAGTAAAGATCAACTACAATGTGTTTTAAATGAGTGATCAATTATCATAAATATTAGTATCAGAAGACCACCTCTAAAAAAAGAACTAATCATACAATGCGTGCACTACAATCATACAACTTGTCATTATTCTTGGTGACTGCATGCATCTAGAAGCCAATGTTTAAGAGGTGCATGTAAACTTTCTTCAGGTGGATAGTTCGATGATATGGCTACTAGTTTATATCATTAGAGGCTTTCGCCATAGCTATGTCATCGTACTATATGAATAATATGATGATTTTTTTGATTTTTTAAGCGTCGTTCAGTCCTCATAATTCTCTTTCCAAATTATATAGTTAAATCCTCAGATTCAAGACATGTCAAATAAAGATTAAACCCTAAAATTTTCTTGATCGGATACTAAACCTTTTTGATATTAAATCAAAGAAAATCTTTTGATCTCGTTGATGACATAAGAGTTTTATTTTTAGAGATTTATGACATCATTGACACCAAGATTTTCTGGCTAATCAACACTTTTTTATGACCATGAAACAAGAATATATGATTGTGATTAATAGTCATGGAGAAATTTTATGTTTATGTAAAAAAAATTATTGTGGTAACCAAATTAAGAAGTAATATGCAACCTCCCTCCCTCCCTCCCTCCGGGGAAGAGGATATTGTGATACTTTTCATTGGAGCTTGGAAGAAATAAAAAAAAATGTCTTTCTAATTTATAATTAAAATAATGATAATAAATTAAGATCAACTTTTAATATGAATAAAATCATGCAGATAAAAATGTTCTCAACATTATCTTTGTAATAAAAAATAGCATGCAGATAAAAATGTTCTCAACATTATCTTTGTAATAAATAGTTAAAAATATTTCAGCTTAAGGTGTGATGCGGGGGCAGTAAGATGATTTTGTTTTTGGGAAGGATGAGGAAAGATTTAGGCCACAAGCTGAAGTTTAAGGCTTATAGTTTCAATCACACGGGACAAAAGAGAATGCATTAGAATAAGCCCAAGCATTATAGCACCTCCAATTAGGTAAACGGCAATCTATCTTCAAGACTTCAATTTTGTGAAGTTCTGTATATCTTCCTAAACCCTTAAGAGATTCACTGATTGTAAGTATAGCAGCTTTACATATAAATCTAGTAAGCTCTAATTTGACCAAAACAGTACGTCAACAACTTCACAAGCTTTAATATTATACAGCATATTATCTACTAAATAAAATAGAAAGCATTAGTATCAATTTCGTATAAAGAAAGAGTACCTTTAGACCACCAATATTCAAGCTCAGCAGGCATTGGAATCCTTAATGGAGCTTTATAGAAAGAGTTTAGCCACATTTCTCTTTCCTGATCAACCTCTTCAACATAGGTCTTCCAGTAATCAGGAACCTGAATAAATAAAAGGTTGTTATGACTTTCAAAAGAAAGAACTTAAAGTTGTGAGAAAAAGTAACAATCAATCCGTTCAACTCACTTCATAAAATTGGTTAATGAATCCAGGGGCCATCCACACATCATCTTCTTCATAGAAATACGGATGTTGAGGATCACCATAGGGGCCTCGCTCTTCCCTGACCACTATTAGGAAAGGCAGAAATTAGTCAATAAAATAACAATAAATCAGTAAAGTAATAATAGATGAAAAAAGATATTTCAAAAATAGCTTCACAAATCAGGTACTTCTGGTACCATAGCAATCTTGATTATCTAAAAAAAATTACACTTGAGCAAATTAAATGGTGTATAAAAAATGTCGATAGAATATCCTGAGAAAATCTAAATAAAATTAACTACTTAATAGAAGAACCTGTCAACTAGTTAAAAAAATATTCAGAAATCAGCAAGGTGGAGTAGATAAAATAGAGGCTAGAACAGTACAACTTAAAAAGGTTAACCAAACAATCTAAAGCTAACATACCAAGTAATCCTCTGAGTCACCATAGATTCATTTCTTTTATACATACTAATCTTAAGCATTTCTTATAATAGATATTATAATCAGAAAATTCAACCAAAATAGTTGAGTGATTAAAGCCATTGTTGTTTGTTGGTTTGGCTAGCTTGATAGTCTGATTTAAACAATTCATATCAAACCCTAAACTTTTAAGTAATTGCAGGAGTACTTATTTGAATTGGGGTACTTATTGGCGTAGTGTTTCCATCTTCTAGTTATTCTAAGCTACTTTATTTCCTATGTATAGATGTTTTCATTATCTGAGGTACCAAACCACACTCGAGCATAAATTTTTTTATAGATACAATAGATCTTCCAAGTCCTATATAGGTTAAGTAGTGAAACAAATCAGGCCAAGTCAAGCTACAGTGTTAGGACTACGGCTGTAAAGGAACTGAGCAGAGTCGAGTAGGGCTATGTTCAAGCTTGAGTTTATTTATAAAATTCGAGCTCAAGCTCAAATTGAGCTTTTAGGGTTGTGTTCAAGCTTGAGCTTTTTTATAAAATTCGAGCTCGAGCCCTAATCAAGTTTTCTGCTCCTATTTGAGTTTGGTTCCTATTCGTTTCATGTGATGATATCGATTCATTATCAAGCAGATTAATGATTAAATTACCAAACTAAATTTCCATCTAAACAATCTATATTGAGCAAATTAAAATTAGTGTTGTCGTGTTATTTATTTTCAAACCAAATAAGACTCATCGAACAAGATGATTAGTATGATTGAACTATTTATTTTCTAATCAAATGGCTTTATTAAGCTTATAAATGAGTTTATTGTTGAATTTACAAAAATAATAAGCTTTTAAATGAATAAGTTGTTAAGTGAATAACGAAAATAAGCATATAAATTCTTAAAATAAATGAATGACTAAGCAAACAAGTCTTTATTTGTTTTCAGTACTGCAAATTAAATTTTAATTTAATATAAATAAATTTTAAGTTAAGCTTTAATTGAGCTTATTCACAAGCTTAAATTAAGCCTTAACCATTTTAATTCACAAATATTAAATTGATCTTTTTATAAATTTTAAATAAAATTGTTTATCGAGCTTCTTAACGAGCTTGGTCGCAATAAACAAATCAAACAAGGAGGTGTTCAAACTTGTTCATTTAACAATCGTGTATTTATAAGTGTTCAAACTTGTTAAATTAGTTAAGTAAACGAACACGAAGAAACCCTTATCAAGCTGAATTACGAGTAACTTGTCAAACACTCGATTCATTTACAGCCCTTGTTAGGATAGATTTTCAATGAATATGATGGAACTAATCAAGAAAGTTAAAAGGCATTAATTTTATATTAAAAATTTGTTATGCTAAAGTCAAGTTTGGCCATTTCCAATTTTATTGCTTCTAAACAATATAGTTTCAAGGCAACCAATATGATTCCGCCAAAGCCAAGATGCTCGATCGAGGATTTTCAATCAAGCTCCTTCATCTGCTACATGGAAGAGGGAATCTACTTGCTACTTATCAAGCCCATATACCTGTTGGTCTTTTTAGCAATCTAAGGATCTAGTTGTCAAAGTCAATCAAAATAATAGATAATAGAAATGATGGGTGTGGACAATTCACCGGAATCGATTTATTTTCACTATTTATGCCAACATGGTGAGCCATCTCAAGCTCAGCTCAACTATTGCGAGGATCACTATGGCTGGGGAGCTTAAGCTCATGATTCGAGAGTAAGGTACGTGGTTTTATGAAGGTATCTTCATTTTTTTATCATTTGATGGTTTTGGTGTTGAACTGATGTGTCCCTCTTAGCCATTATGTAATTAATTATTATCTTGTTTTATTCCATAATTGTTTTTTTATTTGGTGAACTATTTTTTCCATTCAATTCTATGGCCATATTGAATTATTAATTTTATTGTTAATTTCCAGAAAAGGCATAATGTGCAAATGATAAGACATCTCCATGTGCCCAATTTTGATTGAGCCACTTTAAAGGAACCATAGAACCTGCATCATTTTGAGAGGAGATGAAGCGTTTTATCGATGTTCAAGCAACTAGTCAAGAGGCTCCACTCGCTTTATTAGTTAAGATTATGAAAGTCTATGTTCTTCATTGTTTTCCTCTTCTATTCTTGTGTTTGAGTCACCTAACAACTTGAGCAAGAAGGAAGGAATTTTGGATTTACATCATTATCAAGAAACTGAGTGTCACTCAATCAGGAAGATTTCTTAATTGCTCAAGGGGTTCATGTTAAGGATTATGCTTTTGAACAGCACACAAAAACCTCCCACAAAGAGAGATGTGTTCCTTTGTAGAATAGCTTAAAATCAGGTCAACCCTTCCTCTCTCTCCCTGGCCACAGTTGAGATTTCAAATTGGCTTTTGCTCACGAAGGCCAAATTTACTAAAAATCTAGTCGTCTTCATCTTACCTTGGCTTGATTCCTCAAACATAAGAGCACTCAATTTTTTTCCAGCCTATTCCATCTACTTCTAAAATGATAAGAAGAAACAATTGTATGTCAACTGTCATTCTTCCTGTCAGAATGAGATAGGGTTTACAAGACTCCCTTAGATAAAGATGTTGAAGAGATGGTTTATCTGTCATTTCTCTTACTGGTTACCTATTTTTGATTTCATCAAGCCTTAAATCAATCGATAGCATAGAAATTTTAAACTTGAAGTTGAGACCTTCAAAAAATCAAAGGTAGTCGAACCAAATATATTATATTTACCCTAATTACTCGACTTATGAGTGGTAAGCTTGATTTTGATGGTAAAATTCACATTTTATTTATCACGGGACCATATTTGATTTTTTGCAATTTGAAGGGTTTTCTGTGAAACCCTCCACCGCAATTGGGTCGAGTGGGACGAAATCTCCTCCAGACACAAAATCCATGAAGGGTAGTTCGTTTTTATCATCTACCATCAAGCCAACTGCATAAATGATTGATCATTGAAGAAACGAAGCTTCCATTGTCAAACCATTTGAAAAAGCAATCAATTCAACCCAGACAGCATCTATCAAATCATCTAGATCAAGCATCACTAATAAGAGACAAAGTAACACTGCTAAGAGACAAAATATTAAGAATCTAGCAACTTTCCCAAAGCACTTGGAGCAAGCAGACCTTCTTAATCCGACGATGAACGACGAATAGGTGGAATGCTGAGAGAAACAAAGCAATCCTTATGAGTATTTATGATTTCTTTTCTTTTCGAGAAAATTATAGTGAATTAGCCAAAATAGAGATTGGCATGGCTATTATTTAATGGCTAATAGAAGGAGAACTATGAATTTGAAGTCTAATACTACAGGTCCATTTGTCATTCATTCCGCAAATTTAAGTAGCTAGGCTACTGTTATGCTAGCATAAAATGTAATAATTTTTTTTAAAGTGCTTACGGGGCTATTAATCAAAAGCATTAGCATAAAATGTAATAATTTTTTTTAATTGACAGGGTTAAAGAGCCTACAAGGCCTAGCAAGAAATGAAGCTTTTGCAAATTCTGATCTTTTCAAAGAGAATTTCAAGCTACAAAGCCGAATCAATGAGCTTAAGACAAGGGTTAAGACTTTGGAGGACAAGCTTCTGAGTCAGTCAATAAATGATCAGTTAGACTTCTATAGGGCAAGTCAAAAGTTTGCTTACGAAGTCCTTCATTGAACTAAGGAAGAGTTTAAAGTGCTTACGGGGCTATTAATCAAAAGCATTTGAAGTGCATTATAAAATATTTCTCTATGTTTCAACTTTTTTGATGTTTAGCTTGCAGCAAAATAAATACAAAGTAATACTGAAGGCTTATTTTTCCTAGACTTGGAAATCAATCGAATCATACAATTTTCAAATAACCTTTACCAAACACTTAATGCAGGGTTGCATGCTCACACTGCCTCACTGCTTCTTTGACTCTTGCTGTGTACTCCATCGTCTCCCTCCCAAGTTTATATAGAAGAAAAAACAAAAAGAAGTTGAAGCCTGACAATCGGTCATTCCAAAATTTTGTTTCCAACATCAAATCTATGGATCCATAACAATTTATAGTAGTTGAGTTCCCCGGATTGGAATCCACTTATCACAGTTGAAAGTTCACTATAACCACTTCGAACCATTCCATAGTTATTTGAAGTTCTAAGCTTAGTAATTAGAGCCAATCATAATGTTTGGAACTTTTTTGCTTCATGGCTACAATCATTCTGATGACATTAAAAATATTAAGCCTAACAGTCGAAATTAAATGATTTTTTTTTTAATTTTTTTATTTGAACTACCAGGAAGGGAACCAACTATGATATGTGGCATATCAAAGTTCTGGGTTGCAAAGGGGGCCACCATTTATGGTCTAAATATTTTTTCTGTACGAATTCAAAACCTACCATTTTTTTTTTTTTTTGAAAGAAAAAGCTACATTTGTGGTTTCATGAAGTGGGATCAAGTATGAGCAAATTAATAAACATCAGAGTAGATTACTGATGCACCAGTAAAAACTAGAGTAGCAGACAAAAATTATCCCTCTGAAAATCAAATAAAAAGATATGACGCATTCTAACAATTAGAAGGTGAAGGTAAAAATCCTAAACAATTGCAATAGAACGTAATTTCATTCAGGAGACCTTTACAGTCCTTAGGTTGCATGATGCAAACAATGAAAAACAAAGAAGCAATATCACCAAGCAATATTCACGGTGCATGTTTGAAAATTTTGGTTTCTCACATGAATGGGAAAACCATAAATAAAATAGACCTCTATGTGATGCCACAAACATCAATTGTTAGGGTAAGAGTCTAGATGCCATTTTGAGGTCTCCATTCGACCATTTTTTTAAGTAAAATGTAAAAACCAATAGGCTTTTCCGAAAACTGCAAAAAAAAATCAGGAGACATACTCCCATCAGGCTTGTTGACAAACATCCGTGCCTTTGCTGCAGCTACTTCTGCAATTCCTGCATGCAACTGAAATAAAATAATTATAATGTATTTCTCAGCAAACACCAGAGGAATCAAGATTTTTGACATACTGCCGACACATCACTATCACAGCCAGAAGAATCCTCTAAATGCTTTCCAAAGTAGAACCTTCCCTGTATAGAGAATTTTAAGATTACCATTATGATAGATTGTAACATGTTTTGCATTTCAATCATGCTTTTATAGGTTAAAACACTGATTCAAATTTTAATATGTAATTTGGTGATAAAATATCCAAAAAATATTGAAGGCAAACAATGATCATCTTAAAAGAAGCGTCAATATAGTAAAACAGCATCAATCTGACAGGAACCTACATATATTATACGCTCATTTACTTCAAATACTCCACAGCCATGCATTCGGCTATGCTTCCATTGGCCTGCATACCGATACCGGCCTTTCTCTCTGTTTGAAAAACCTAAACAACAGTTAATAAAACAATGACAGAATTTACGAAACTGAAGATGAAAACCAATAACAGCTGCAGAAAAAAATTGTGGTGGTATTATGCATTCAAGGCCAGGGTTTACTTACATTATAAAGATTGATGCAATCAAAGTTTCTTGTAATGAACGCAGTCAAGGTTTTGCTAAACATATCATCGTACTAAATGCTCGGTCATATAAGTTGTACTTGGTAAAGGGTTAAAAAAGTCACTTGACTATTTATATGGGGTAATTTTAGTCCTAGAGTTTATAAAAATATTAAATTAAACCCTAAATTCTTTTAATGGGAGCTAAAATAGTCCTTAACAGAACTATTTCAACCAACAGTAAAAGGCTGTGGAAATTAAATTTACACTTTTACGAACTTTGAGGCTAAAATAGCCCCTATAAAGAGTTAGGGGACCATTTTGACACCTTTCTTATTGTACATGTACTACATGACTTTAAAATCTCAGCTATAAAAACTTTTTTTCAAATAACAGTTTTAGCATGTGGAGGGTGATAGCATTAGTAGGAAAGCTCAAACTTTATATAACAAAGATGTGGATTGGAAGCATACATATTATGTTTACAACCTCACATAGAACCATGACTTCAAAATTTACAAATTGGCCAATGATCAAATTAGAAACATCAGTCCAAAAAAAATGGTGGCAATAATATCTAAAGATTAACGGCAATACTGCCTTAACATGTTGATACTTGTGTGATGTTGCTTAACAGGCGACACAGACTAATCAAGGTTATGAAAATCTAAATTATGAGATATTTAATTGAAAGTTAGACTTTTGCATTAATATATCAAAAAGGTGCAAAATGTGTACAAAATTACGCCTCGAGTATTTAAAAAATATGGCATATCTTCTATAATAAATGAAAGAGCATGTTCTTCATTTATATTTTTCAAAACAAAATCACTATGCAAGGCTTTATAGACACAACAAAGTGGTGCTCTATTTCCATCCCTTGTGTTTGAAAATTACTTACTTGAACTGTAAAAGGAATACAAAGTTAAGACCGACAAGCAAATCCAAAATTATGGGATATTTCATGGGTGATGCTAACATGCAACCCCAAACATCATACAACGAAAAAGAGTTTCAACAGCTGTTTGTGCGAAAAATCAAAATCAACTAGTGTAAATGAAAATTTTAGACGAAGAATATGGAAAATCAAAGAAAATTTAGGTTTCTGACAGATACAAGGCTCTTCATAAATAAAGGCCACAATAAAAATAAGAAAACAGATACTATTTACACATGAATCATGTTACACTCTTACTGGCATTGCAGCATAAGAGGGAAAATGGATAGACAACAATTGCAAAGCAAGGAAATAGCTCGTAAACAGACGCCCAAACTCCCACACATGCCACTACTAGTAACAATCTTTTGATAACTTGCCTTCATCTGTTACCTCGTGCCTATATACCCAAAAATCATGTAATCTTTGAGAATAGAAGACATGCTTCCCCTCCATATGATGCGGGAGCATCCCACCTAGGTGAGTAATACGCGAGGATGGAATTTCCAGCCTGTAAGACCTGTAGCAAGAGATTTTGCGCCTATTGAATTTTGGCGGGTCTTGTGTGCCTTATTTACTTTATTTGGATTTATAATTAGGGTTTAATTTGTTCTTATTATAAGTTTGTAGAAATTCTGAAAAAACGTATATATATTTCTCGCTTACCTTCATGCATTCGACCTAGCTACATATATATAATAATGAAAGGAAATCAAATAGGAATCCCTCCATAATAAGAAAAGAACAAAAAAAAACTAATAAAGGAAACACAATTAGTGAAATATATTTTGTTGAAAGAAAAACGCAATTAGTAAAGCATCTCAGTAGTCTGAAATCCACTCCACCGTTCAAGCAGGGTTCGACCATGGCGATGCACCTACCAGAGTTCCAAGACATGCCCCTCAAAAAGAAAAGCTAGAACAGGAGGAAAAAAAGACTAATCGAGTCAGCACCAACAAGAATTCTCATATAGGAAGTCTTTCAAAGGCTATGGGTATAGGCAAATTACATCTACAAACCTAACTAGAAAAGTGATTTCTCTTATTGAGCATGCTACAATGAAAGAAGTAGTAGTGAAGACTCTAGAGATGAAGTGATTGTAAAGTATCAGTTACCCGCATATGATAGTGAGATGTATGTGGTTCGACGAGTTCTCCAAACAGAGCTCAAAAAAATCAACAGTGGCTTAAACACTATCTTTCGTATTCCTTACGTTGTGAAAGAGAAGTTACGCAGTCTCATTATAGATGAATGTGATCGTGAGAATATGGTGTTTACCCAAATAGAGGATAAATTGACCTCACAGCGCAAAAACATTCTCATTCATATTCTCTAACATGGTTGAAGAAGAAAAAGATCAGTATTGACAAGATATATATCGTAGAGTTTCCCATTGCAACCAAGTTATAGGATCAAGTGTGGCGTAGCGTCATGTTAATGATTGCATGTCACTTTCTATTGGGTCAACCAAAGAGGTACTATGTTTAAAGTTCATAATAACCACAAAAACACTTAAGTTTATCAATAAAGAGAAGTGAAATGTACTTTTACACGTGGATGAGTCACTGTGATGAGAATTCAAAGAGAGATGGGAGCTATAATGCCTCGTGATAATTTTTTATATACTATGAGAGAGACGCCATTGAAATTGGAGGCAGCAAACGAAGAAGCTGATACCTGAGACAACGTGACCTCTATTGGAGGAGTACCAAGATGTTCTAGCATTCCACCACCTTAATAACTGCTTGAACAGAGCATGAAAAGGTGCAGAAGCAGGTTAAGAATTTGATGGCTCGGAGATTACTTTGTGAGAGTACCGGTCCGTTTATGGTACCAGCACTGATTGTGCCAAAGAAAGATATATCGTGAAATTTATGCATTATAGTATAGCAGTGAACAAGATCACCATTAAGTACTGATTTACTATTCTGAGATTGAATATTTGGTTGAATCAGCTGCATGAAGCTAACATCTTTTCCAAGATAGATCTACACTATGGATGCACTCAATTTAAAAGAGGCCCGAAGTTGAGTGGAAGCCCGCTTTCAAAATACGAGATAGATTGTCTGAGTAGATAGTCGTGCATATTGGTATATCCAATGCATCGAGCACTTTTAAGAGGCGGGTAAATAGGTTTCTGAAACCTCTATCAAAAAAATTTGTGGTTATGTACTTTGATGACATCTTAATGTATAGTCATTCAAAAGAGGAGCATATATGTAACAAATTTTTGGAGATCTTTTGAACTGGGCAATTATATAGTCACCCAAAAAAAGTATCACTTCTATTTACAAAGACTTGCTTCCTTGCATATACTGTATCAGTGACTGATACTGAGATGAATTTTCCTAAGATCGAAGCCATCATTAATTGTTTCAACCCATAATTATTCATTCAGGTACGTTAATTTCAAAGATCATCTTTTATACAAGAGATTTATTAGAAACTTCAGCTCTATAGTGACACCCTTAATGAAGCTTCTTGTCAAATAAATTCACTTGATCAGATGAAGCGAGGATTAGCTTTGATGCTTTGAAGAAACAGGTTGCCAAGTCTAGGTCCTAACTCTTCCAGATTAAATCAAGTGTTCAATGTGGAAGACGAGAGTGGTTAACCGCAGTCTAAGAAATCTCCTGAAAATGTTTTGTGTGCAAGAATATCAAATAGCGGGACATAATCCTCCCCTAAATTGAGTTTGCTTATAACTGTTTCACCAGTCAATCCATAAGTCAGAACTTGTGCGACATTATATAGGCAAAACCTCTTCACAACCCATTAGAAATAGTGACAATACTACTTGTAATTGGGCTTAGTGTTGATGCAGATGCTATGCTCAGAGATATTTAAATTTTGTATGAGCAAGTGAAAAAAGAAAATTATCAAACAGAGCAGAATATCAAGTATCATCAGCAAGCTAATAAGTCCAATAAAGGTGACATAGTGTATATTAGATTTAAGATTTCCTATAGGGTCGTTTGGAAAGCTCAAGCTTAGAACTAATTATCCAATCACGATTATTAAGAAGATTAATAATAATATATATGTGATTGATCCGCTAGAAGACTATAAGTTTTTTGCTACAATTAATATCGCTGACTTGTCACAGTATTATAAAGATACATAAGCTTTCAGAGATAGAGTTGAAGTCCATCCTACCTAGGCAAATACAGAAGCTTCTCATGACACAAAAGCGCATCCAGGTGAAATGGATGCATAGACAAGAATTCATGTCCTGTGGGACCAGTAGCACGAGATTTTTTGCCTATTGAATTATGATGGGTCTTAAAGAGATCTATTTACCTCATTCAAATTTATAATTAGCGCTTAAATTTGTCATAGTATAAGTATGATGTGTTAGAATTCAGTATGTATAGCTTTCTTAGTTTTTGTGATAATTTGAGATTTTTCCCAAATTTCTCCCCTTTTCGGAGTATTGTGGCATCTCACATTCAAGTATATTTTTGTAGCTTGAACAAGATCAGTTAGTAGACCCTTTTGATGTTGGTACCCTCGCCGACTTCTCTGAACAAATGAGTTTCCTATGGTTTTCTTCCCAAACAGCAGTCAACTGCTTCTTCCCCCCCTCCTAAATCTGAATTATTTCAGATTGTTTTTGATATCTAAATTAACCCAAATCACGATCAAACGACACAATTATATTGCTGAATTCAAAGACAATACAATGATGACTCCCAATATAGAACAACACCAACATGCAAACTATCAAACGATAATACTGATTCCTCCAACTAGAATAAAACAGTATGAAATAAAAAATAAAACGGTAGAAAACACATAAACGGCACTCTTAAGAGAAGGACGTCTGGATAGCAACCTAAGGGTGGACAGTGCCCGGAATAAGTATCTCAGCGGGGTCGAGCTAAAGTCGGAGCACTACCCTAACCCTTGGAGACGGCACCAACTTGGACTAGTTATAGCCAGAGCACCTCCTCGCCATCGAATACAGCCCTCAAAAGGGAAGAACGCCTCAAAGGCATCAAACTGAAATATGGAATGATAAAAAAATTAACCCTAACACTACCAACAACATCTTTATAATAGAGATTAGTAAATAAAATAGGTAAAGATGAGAATAAGAAAGAAATAGAAAAGCAGTGGCATAGAATGGGCAAGAAGTAAAAAAGGAGAATCACAAAAAAGGAAAGGGAATATGAGGGAAGCGTAGAAGGAACAGTACTGTAGCAGCGACAATATCGCGATCCGATAAGTTTCCACGACAGTTTTTCTTTTCTTACCCCCCCTAAAAAAGTTTCCAACACTTATTTGAGCCTTATACACCTTCTAAGAACCCTAGAACGGAGTCACCATGGTATTTCCTCCTAGTTTTATTTACTTCCATCAAAGCTTTAGCAACTATAAAATTGAAAGAAAGGGATTCCTTACAAACTTTAAACGCCACAACCAACCCTAAAAGCGCTTCTTTGCTCTTCTCATCCCTTCATTGCATTTCCTAGTAGAAAATATCTTTCATTTGCTTTTAACGAAAATAATTAACATCCACAACCATGATTGAAAACATTAATTTAACTAGAATCCTAAAAATTATTAGATGGTAACTCACTATTAATCCATGGCAGTAGTCCACTGTTCATCCCATGCCCATGCCCCAATCTAACAAACACAATGAGAATTTGTATGAAATATATTTTAACCTATGTCATATCAATTCCAACTCCCCCTCATGTGGCCTCCAAGTGCAATTGTGTTCGTATAAAGTGGTCTCGCATAGTCATCTTGCTTCAGTCTTCCGTAGATGCAATTTGTGGAAGTGGATTTGGCTACTTTCGCCTCTGCTCTCGCTTTTGGACTCTTGAATGTTTCCCAGATGAAGGATCTCGATTTAATCTTAAATGTTCGACCCTGATGAAGGCTTATATAAGCCAAATCTGTCTTACTTCAAATACAAACAACGTTGTGTTTTCCAAATACATAATTTACCGATGCTTCCATTTTATAAGAACAAAAAAACACCCATCTTAAGATATTCCTCCGCTTAAACATTTTCCTGCGCCAATTGCATCTCCCCCTCCAAAACATTCAACTTCTTCATCCATATCATTGAAAACATATCGGGATACAAGATGATATAAAGATACGCTTACAAGTAAATCCCAAAAGAGTCAATAATGAATATAGCAAGCTAAGAATTAAATAAATTGTAATCACGTTCAAGAAATAATGAATGCATGTAGGCATGCATGCCTTTATATATGCATGTATTCAAACATTAACGCAATGCTGCAAGCATCCACATAAATTAATAACAACAAATCACTAATTAACCAAAGCAAGTGCATATATGCAAGGACAACAAAAACGAGACCACAAAGCCAAGCAGTAATTATACATGAATCATAAAAAAGTCTAAGATGAATGTAGAGTACTATTGGATTAAGTAGATTGTATGCATATGCAATATAGATACATTAATGTAATGTATGCAAGCATGCACATAAATTGAAACAATCAACAAATTAAACAAAGCTAGTGCACATATGCAAGTACAAAAAAATGAATGAGTGATATACATATAAGTAACAAAAATAGCTCAACAAATAGTTTGTAAGAGCATAAATAAAAAAACTTGGAAAGAAACTATGATACAATAGTAAGCAACTATTATACATAGTTACATATAGTATTATACATATCAGAATTCTTTTTGGCTCCACAACTTTGAATATATGATATGCTCTTCTATTCTTCTATTATAAATTCTAAATTTAATCTACTAATTGAAAACATGGCATGTTCATCGATCAGCTTGCATTAATATATGATTACCACAAGCAAATATGAGTGTTTTAGACTCTTAAGAAAAGATCGGCTTGCATTAATATTATATGATTACTACAAGCAAATATGAGTGTTTTAGACTCTTAAGAAAATAAAAGTTGAATATTCAAACCAGAGTGGGGAGAGTATAAACCTCTAGCCACTCCCAACAACCCCCATCCCCCCAACACATAATTCTCTCATTTTTTCACCCTTCACCTTGTGCTAACCATCAAAACCCATTTTTCTTACCTCAATTCAAAGGCCCCTTCTTATTAATTCCTATCCATCAAATCTCACACTCTTAACTCTCCCTATCCCCAAAACATTTGTGGAGGGGAGTGGGAGTCGGAAGAAAAAAAGTGATAGAAAACAAGAACTACACAGACCTGATCTTTAATGAGTTGAGCCCAAGCTTTTGGAGCAGGCTTAACTCGGCCAAAATCAGAAAGGTATGAAAGGAAATGTCATTTATCAAATCTACACCACGATTAATATTAAGACTCACTATGGAAATAAGCTTTAGTCTATTGTTGGTGAATAAGGGATAAAATGAGGTTATGTTTCTTATCAAAGGTACCAATAATCATCAACAAAAGTAAACAATTTCAGCATAGAATTTATAAATTTGAATCAAATTGAAATCAAGCCACCGACACTTTTAATGCACAAGGCATTCATATTAAAGATTTAAAAAGAATAAATTTCTGAATAAATATTTTTCAACACTTTAATAAAGTCAATCAGATCAACGTATAAACAGTACAGCTCTCAAGCATGAGCTTTCATTGGCTAGTAATCAACTAGCGTTCAGCAATAAAATGATACGTCACTTTAATCTCTCATTACCATGGCCTATCTGGTAAGGCTCTACAATAAAAGAATGCATCGTGACCCTATATCTTATTATTATCCAAACAAAATGGGCCGGCTAAACCACCTAATTTATCAACAAAAGAATATAGACAATGCAAGAAAATCAAACAAAAACTTACGGCTTTTCACCAAAAACCTTTACCCATTCATCATTTTCATAGAATGGAATTTCCCTGTTACCACCAACCAGATGAAGTGTGTCCTCTATGTCCATTTCTAACCATCTTCTATCTTCTGGCGTCATAAAATCTCTTGTTATTATTCTACCTTCTTCACGCATTTTGGCTTCCAAACTGCAAATTATAGCAAAATATTGAGCATCTCATTAACAAAGTCGTTCATTGAATAGAAAAGATCAGTAATTCAAAATCGCTTGTGATGAATATCAGTTTCATGGTTAAAAATTAACAAGGGTGAACGAATACTTCTCAGACCTACATTGATCCCGGCACAGGTTGCACATCAGGAATATCAACTTCTACAACACCGTGGCCCTCCATTTCATTCCGAAGCCACTCTCCTTCATACCTAAAAATTAAAATGGTACACTGAATCACAGCAAACAAAACATTTTAATAAATTGAACATAAGAAAAAAAGTCAAAAAAATCCATTAAGTATTTAGTAATTTGTAAGCAAATCTTTCGTCATACAAGAATCCTAAGAGAGTCACTCCTTCAGAAGCATTTGATCATCTTCTAGACACCTATGGGTAAACCTATAAAAAGGGTTTGGTTGATCCAAACGTCAAATGAGATTCAAAAGGGTGTCATTTACTTATTATTTAAATACCTAAGATGATCTTACACATAGAAAGACAAATACAAAAGAGTTTATTTATTAACCAACTGCTGTGAGAGAGTGTCTTACGAGCATCGTGTCAGAGAAATTGAGCTGACAGTAAGCATCTATCTTGATCTCCTAACTATCTTTAACCTCTCACACACAATTAGATAAAAGGAACAGAGAAAGGAACACTAGATTTTTATATGGAATTCAAAAGAGAACCTTAAAATCATGCTCAGTTAAACAACTTGCATAATCAAGATTGAAATACAATGGATAATCCACCTGATCAATCAGAGAAAATATCAATTTGGACCAAACGAGCATGAAAGGCTATACCTGGGTATTAGTGTAGTTAGACGGCAAGTCATGTGAGTCAATAATGTGATGTGATTGGAGTTATGGAGGACCTTTGAAGACGAAGGCTCCCTCTCAATTGTGGTGGATTTGGAAGTGTTATTGAAGCCTTTGGTGTAATTAGAGATTAGAAAGAGTTTGGTTTGTGTTGTGGTTTTAGTGTTGGAGGACGAGAGCTAAATGACTTGGGAGATTTCCTTTGTGGAGTATGTAGGATGGTGTCAGATGTGGGTGTTGGCAGGGTTAGTGAAGCGTATGTTGTATCCCACACCCAACTCAGGATAATTCCCGCAGCATTCCGAGCAGAAACAAAAAGAACAAAAACTCGGAGAACCGTCAACATTCCTAGCCCCCAAGACTAGACAGCGGGGCCTTAAATGTATTAGAGTTAATGTGCTTTGGGATTATATATGTATTTTCTTTTAGACTGGTTATCTTATGCTCATGATGCCTTGAGATTTCTTCCCTGATTTGTCTCTTTTAGGAGCATTGTAGTATTTTCATTTTTAAGTGGTAAAACTATATCTTAAAGAGAACAGGTGGTGGAACCTTCTGTGGTTAGTTAATTGGTGCCCCAGCCATCAGCCATGCCCTTCTTTACTGTATTCCCTGCAAGATAGCAGCCAGAGCCTGTTTTTCCACGCCATTCAACAACATCCTCATCATTTATTTTGATTCTCACACACCTTCTAGGAGCCCCATAATGGTGTCAGTTAGTGATGTGCTGAATATGTAATATACTATTTCCTTTTTTTTCTATATTATTTGTGTCATTTTTATGATTTTTCATCGTATTTGTGATTGTATATGCATTATACAGGTGATTAGACAACTTGGGAAACAAAAGAGATGAAGCTGGCACAAAAATGTCAGAACTGCCAAACAAGCTCCGGGAATCACAGCAATCAAGCACCAATTCTGGCCGCCGAGGAGCTAGGAACCCTAGGATCAAGCACCTGAATTCACGTTTTGACGGGTTTTGACGCTTGTCTTGGGTCGTTTTGCATGGGAAGACTTAAATTCATTGAACACGAAGCAAAGAAGGGAGAAAGGGAGAGGAGACCAAGGTAGAAGTCACAGAGAACAAGCAAAAGGTATCGCTAGAGAATACTTGGGAGCAGTCCAAGGTAGAAGTCACAGAGAACGAGCAAAAGGTATCGCTAGAGAATACTTGGGAGCAGTTGGAGCCTTCAAAGGAGGACTATGTGGGGTGTTAGCGAATGACCTCCTAAGTGATATCGAGTGTTGGTGAGTGAAATTGAATGTACTATGTACTCGAAGAGGAAAATCATTGTGGATTCATTGTAAACTCTTGTAATTCAATGGAACATCTTGGTTAGATTGTTCTAACTTGTATTTTCTTTGGTTTTAAAATGAATTTGTCATTGTGTTTCTTTCAAATGAAAAGTAGTTAAATTTCTCACTCCCTTGAATTGATAACTTTTGCATGTTAGAACTACCATTATAGTGTGATTGATTTATCGATTGTAGAATGTTAATATGTTGACCTCCAGCTCATAATTTACTCCTAAACTGGTCACTTAGAATGTTAAAATAGGTTATAATCTAGTCCTATGGAAGTAGGCTAATGGAATGATAAGATTAACATTCACTACTTCAGGATAACAGGAATATTGCTTCAAAAATAGTGCAACCATACAAGGAAACACAGAAACAAGAAAGTTTTTACATTGTTAGAAAAGTAACTGTGAAATGAAACACTAATATTTCTTAAGACCGCCGGAAGAAGCTAAGGAATATTATTATTTTTGTTGTAAATAATATTGGAGTCACATGTATAAGACTAAATTGCTAGGTTCGATTCAAGGGAGATTTCCTCGCTTGATTAAAAGTTTAAAACTTAGTAGGAGCTCAAGTCTTTGCAAAAATTAAATTAGTCACTTTCAAAAAATAACCCAAATTTAATTCTTCAATCTAGACTTAAGACCAGTAGACTATAATTTTTTCTATTTTTGAAAGTAAATAAGTTTGTCAATGTATCGAGACACGAACTCAAATCCATATATAACTTGACCGACATGTATACTTGTGTGGTTGTCAATGCTTCACAACAATTCAGACATTAAATTTTTTGCGTCATTATCGAAGAACAACATTAAATTTCTACTTATATTAAGGTTTTAGTTAAATCGTTAGGGTTTAGACTTGAAACTTATCGTGTTGTAATAAAATCGTATTTTATTTGTTATTTTCTGAGTTAGAAAATAAAAAAAAATCATGTTATGTGTTTTTTTGTTTATGTTGTTTTACATATATTCATATTTTATCTTATTTCTATAAATTTGTGTGAGTTTGTGTTTTCTACTAGATTTAGGGTACACATTTGAATATTCTAAGTTTGCATTCATAAGACTAGAATAGTAATTTTAATACCTTCTGACCCGGAAATAAAAAAAAGGCCAAAAAAATTTTGAAAAATCACAAAACTAAAAAAGAATACTTAGTAATGGCAGGAGAATATCATGTTTAGACCCCTTGAGAGGCATGTCAACCCATTAGTAGAGGAACTCTACTTGAGTAACACTGTCGTAGAAGCAATAATTTTGAAAGCAATACTTTTAACTCAAACTTGTCATCAACTAAATGATTCAAAACAATCAATTTAGGGAACCCCCTCAGAAGACCCTAACACACTTGGCTAATTAGCTAGAATTATGTCACTTTCAAGTATGACAGTGTTTCCAACAACGTCGTTATACTGAAGTTATTCCTTTTCTCACTCACGATAAGGTTGAGATGTCGTAGAACTCCATAGCATCAGGATCACCATTGGACATCGAACTATGTGGCCCTTGAGAGTCCAATAATGATGAATTAGCAGCATTTTGACCTTCGTAAAAATTTATTGCACTACTTCTAAAGTCACTTAATACAATGTCATGTTGTGCTTTGACTTTCACATCTGCTAATGATTTCTTGTATTTTTCTTGAACTTTAGTGGGAACTTTAGCACATAGTTTAATGCCCTTATGTGCACCGAAAAAATGTTGTTTCGCCTATTGTTCCATTACACACTTGGTTGCAAAACTTATATCTGAAATATTTTTCATTGAGTGTGCTCGTTGTATATTGTCATGTGAAGTCCTTGCTAGAGCGACTACTACCGGTCACACAATCCCCCCTTCCATTACAAGTTAATAACTAACCTAACACATTAAATTAAAATAAAAAATTAAAACAAATTCACATCTAACAAACATGAAAAAGTTTTTTATGAGTTGATGGATTGTGTGACCTCTAGCAAACATGAAAAAAAGTTAATAACTACATAACTTCCATCATGCGTTGACCGACATTCTTTTAGAGGGATTGTTGTCATTAAAGAATATTCAGCACACCATAGAGTTCATACCAATATCAGTGTTGTCAAATTGGCCCGCCTACAGATTGAGACCTGCAGAGTGTGAAGAGTTACAACGACAGGTACAGGATCTCTTCGCAAGAGGACTGGTCAGAGGGATTACTAGTCGGTGTGTTGTTCCCGCCTTAATGGTGCCCAAGAATGACAGGTCATGGAGGATGTGCATTGATTGTAAGGTCATCAACAAGATCATCAAACATTAATTTCCCATACCTCACTTGGACGATCTCTTGAACCAGTTACATAGAGCCACCCATCTTTTTCAAGATTGAATTATGCAGTGCGTATCACCACATCTGGATGAGGCAAGGTGACGAGTGGAAGAACGCTTTCAAGACACGAGATGGTTTATACAAGTGGAAAGTTATGCCCTTCCGCATGTCAGATGCTTCTAGACATTTTATGAGGTTAATGAATCAGATTTTTTGAACCCACATTGGAAGTTTGTGGTGGTCTGCTTTGATGACATTCTGGTATTTGGACGATCTGAGGAACACTTACAACACCTGAGTGTAGTGTTCAAGAAATTGCAAGCAGAGAAATTAAATGTCCACCCAAAGAAGTGCCACTTCACGACGAACTAAGTATGTTTTTTTGGTTATATTGTATCTAGTGCAGGCATTCAAATGGACGCTACAAAGTTCGACACCATTGTGAGTTGGACAGCACCGCAATCATTCACTGAGCTGAGGCATTTTATGGGGCTAGCGTTGTTTTACAGGTAATTCATCAGAAGCCACAGCACTATCGCTGCCCCCTCTGATGGAGCTTTTGAAAGGAAAGTTCACTTTGACAACTGTAGCACAGACCAATTTCGACACCCTGAAGGATAAGGTGAAAAGGTGTCAGTTCTAGCATTATCAGATTTCAATCAATTGTTTAAGGTAGAGTACGATGCATCCGACGTGGGAAGATGGGTAGTGCTAAGCCAAGGAGATCACCCCATCGCCATGTTCAACAAAAAGCTGAATGCTTCCTAGAGGAAGTAATTGACCTACAATAAG